TTTTTTTTTTCCCGTTGTGTACTACCGGTTGTCCAAGGCTCGACAATAAAGTCCGAGGCTCGGCAATGACCGGGCTACCGGTAGCCTGAGCCACGGGCCTTGACAACCGGTAGGTACTGGTGGTTTAACGGCCGCGTCGGCTTTTTCAAGCTGGGCGAGGTACTAGTGATTTACCTGGCGTTCTGCCATGTCATCATGGAACATATCTTTCTTTTCAGAACCTACAACCACCACCACTACTCCTAAGGCTATAGAAGGGACCCCTGCGAGCATAGCTTTCTTCCTCTCTTCGGTGAAGGGAGGTTACCTCTCTCGGTGAAGAGGGGTAACGGCATGTTTGCCCCTTCGCCCTAGCGCTTTAGCGTGCAGGGTTGGGGCCGCCGGTGGGGGGCTAACACAAGGACCGAGCATTTGTCAATAACTGTGCCTCCCTTTTCATCTTCTGATTCTTCCCCCAGCCCCATCTAGTAACAGTAGTGTCTAAAGTCAACACTCTCCCACACACCACACGCAACCCACTCACACACGCACTCACACGCACTCACACGCACTCACACGCGTGTTGGCTGAAGACCTTGCTGAAACCGACTGGGAGGATCCAGCTGACTATCTCAGTTGGTTGGCACCAAGAGTCCTACAGGCGTCCATGGGGATTGAACACAAGCCCTCCTCCATCTGAAAAAGGGAAAAAAAAAAGTTTTCACTTTTTTTTTTTTGGGCCGCACGTGGCAGCTTGTTATCTGCGAGTCTGGCTCGGGTGTTGAACAGATGATCAGCAGGGAAGCTGATTTTTTTTCGGACGTGGCCGCTATGCCCCTACCGGTACTGAGCATCTTTCCAGCATGCCCCTGTGGCTGTTGTTGACACTCTCGGCCTTTCCCCTGACCCTGGGAGAGGATCTTTCTGCCCTGCTCTCTCTCTCTCTCTCGCGCACACACACACACAGCCTGGACACAACTGCAAAATGAGAATGAATCTTCCCCGAGAGGATGCAAGATTCATTCTCATTTTGCACAAAGCCAAAATCAATCCGTGCGGCCTCTCTCTCTCTCTCTCTCTCTCTCTCTCTCTCTCTCTCTCTCTCTCTCTCTCTCACGCGTGCGCGCGCGCACACACGCGCACACACACCCAGCGTGGACACAAACTGCAAAATGAGAACGAATCTTCCACGAGAGGGTGGCAAGATTCAGTCTCATTTTGCACAACGGGCAAAATCGATTGGGGCCGCCTCTCTCTCTCTCTCTCTCTCTCTCTCTCTCTCAC